ATAATTTGCTTGTCTGAAAATTCCCACTAAACTATCAATCGAATTTTTTTTATTCTCAAAAATATCTTTGCCGCTATCCGCAGCGGTATTTTATAAATTTAAAACCCCGCTACAGATTTTATAAATCGATCAGTTTAAGGCACCTCGAAGCCATTTCTGGTCCCCGAACTGTTAGTAATAACTATGGCAACGACATTAAGTGGTCAGAAGTTAAGAGGTAAGAAAATTTCTTCTAAAGCAAGCATCTACACTAGAAAGGAACGAATTTTTTTCTTTTTTAAGATGAACTAAATCATCAAAATAAATAAGCAATAATTGTTCTTTCCGACAAGAGCTCAGTTAGTTAAATTCTTATAGTGTTAATGTTTGAAAGATGTCTTTAAAAAGCAACTATCAAACACGGAAAAATTTTTACTTTTACGACAGTTTTTAATTTAAAAACAGATGTTACAGGAAGCTTTTTGAATACACGCAGTGTGTGCATTTGGGAGGGGGAGGTAGAAGCGGGATTTCATTTTTGAGTATCAACCTATTAGTAGGTGCGATGAAAGAAAAGCAGATTTCCCCGTCGGGTATACTTTCCAATCTCCTGGGAATGTGAACGAAGGGGGAAGGGGGTCAGAGATGGCTAAACAGCAATCCTTTGCTTAATGAATTACGAATACCCACGATACCCCTACGCAAAGGACGTAGGGTATCTGAATAAACAAAATTTAGGAATGGTCTTGGGAGAAAATACATGCTGGCGGAAGACAGCAATAAATCAGGTACTGTAAGTCTTATAAAGATAGTTTGATGTCGCCGTAAACTGTTATCGTCCAAATGTTTCCAGAAAGAGAAGACGTGAAAATCAGGAAGAAAATAATTAAACACAATGCAAGAAAACAGTGATTCAGTTTTCTGTTGAAAGCCTCACAAAGCTTTACATTTACATATCTGCATTCTACTAGTCGTATTTATTTCTAACAAAATCAGAGAACTCATTCTACAATTTCAAGTAAGTCTTGTTAAACCTTTTAAATTATTTAACCTTTCATTAAAACAAAAAATAAAAGTGCTAAAGCTATTTCTGACATGATTTTAAGTAAGCTGATGCCCTTGATATAATGGACTGCAGCGGTCAAACATATGATAATGCTGCTGTCATGGCCGGAAAGCATACAGGAGTGCAATAAAGACTCAAAGACATAAATCCTAATGCTGAATTTGTACCTTGCTCAAACCATTCGCTAAACCTGGTTTGTTTACGTGCTGCTTCAATCGGAACCAATTCTGTAACTTTCTTCGGCACTTTAGAACGTTGTTATGAATTCTTTTCCATGTCAACACACCGATGGGACATTCTAATTGCTGCTACAGGTAAGATATTAAAAAGAATTCAGGATGAACGGTGGAGCGCAAGAGCTGAAGCAGTAGATATGGCATGGAACCACTATAAGCTTATTTTGACTGTTCTAAAAAAATTGACAGAGCCAAGCGAAAACTTAAGCACACGAACAGACTCAAAAACTTTGCTAGTCGCAATGGAATCATTTTCTTTTTAGTGTTTTTTGGGCCTCTGGAAACCTGTATTGCATGAGGTGAATGATGCCCAAATTTATTTACAAACGCAGGGATTCAACGTGCATCAGTGTTAAAAAAAAATAAGTGATTTGCAGGCACTGCTCAAAGAGAAACGAAATGAATTGGTAGAGGGTGCAATGAATTATGCCAAAACTCATTTTAATGGAACCCCCCAGACGAATAAGGAGGAAGCAAATTATTGACGACGGAAGTAAAGATGCAGCTTTGTCCCACGAAAACGAGTTGAGAAGAAAATTGTTTTCATCGCTGGATAAGGTAACTGCAGAAATTCATGAGAGGTTTCAACAGTTATGGAATTTCTCGAACAAATTTGCTTTTCTTATTGGATGTTGAAGACCAGGATTTCAATTTAGAACCCGTGTCTCATGACATTGACAAAAAAAGTTCAAGTTCGAACGCGTCCGGCTAAAGACTTGTTGACGCTACGGGCAATAAAAATGAATTAATGAATTCAAACCCGCTTGATGTGTTAAAGTTTATTGTGCAATTTAAACTGGAAGTTTCCTTGCCTAGTATAATAATATTGCTTCGAATATTCCTCACAACGTCAGATTGGAGGAATATCTCAACATAATTTCTTTTTCGTACTGTAGACGCATAAAAATATACCTAAAAAACCTAAAAGATCACTTACCTAGAAAACGAATCGCTGAAGAAATGTGGAATAATTAAAAATTTGGAGATAGTTTTCAAGCTCAGGTAATCAATGATATTTCCAGTCATTGTTTCGTTAGACAGACAGACAGACAAAGTAGACAGATGTCTTTTGTTGCACCCGCTAAGTCTTTCTGCACCGATGGGCGAAAAATCAAGCATAGGTGCGAAGGAAAGGTATATAGAAAGGGGGGCAATTTCGTATTTCAGAGGAGAGTAAAAAGGAACTTCGTATATTTTATACGAGTTCGAAAGGCCAGGAAGAAAAGATGGGACAAAATAAAGTAAAAAATAAATGGCCCAAAAGTAATGGAGAGGAAAAAAAATTTATTTATAAAAAAAAGGGCCTATAGAAAGAAAAGGAAAGGAAGTAAGAGAATTTTGTTAAAAAAAAAAAAAAAAAAAAAACACGATTGTGTTCATGAGTGTAGTCAAAGTTGTTATCATTTACATTAAATACAGTCTTCCAGGTGTGTGTAATGAGTGTGTTTTGTAAAGCTGAATAGAGGTAAAGATGGGGAAAATTAATAAATTTTGGGGGTCCAGTCACATAACAGTATAAGTCAAGTTTAGAAGCTAACTTTTGCTATAACAGGGAAACTAAAATTTATAATTTTTTTAAAATTTAAACTTTTATTTTTTTACATGGAAACCAATATTAGCCTCTACCTTGAGACACAGTAACAGAAGACACATAAGATCAAGATACATATAATATCATGCAAAGTTATACATTAAACTAAGTAACATCATCTATTGCGGTTTCCAACATATTTATATATTCAGAAAACACCCATCAGATAAAAATCATAAATCCAAAACAAAGCGAGAACATATCAGCAAAAATAAAAAAGTAAATAAATTACGGAGTTTTTTTATTATTATTATTAATTAATTTTTTTAAAAAATAAGCATTTTATTTATTTATTAAGTTAATGGTCATAATTTATTATATGTGTACTATTTTATCAATTTGAGGCACACTGTATTAATATATGCTTTTAATTTAAATAGATAGGAAATATAGATTAAAGGAGCAAAAACTACAACTCTGTACATTCATTGAGGGCCGAGATCGTGTTTTTAGCTCTTGAGACATTCCTCAAAGGGGCCCCAAACAAGCGCCTGGCCCCAGCCACCACCCCAAGCTCTTATTGGACAAGACTTCTGATGTCATACAGTGACGAAAAGAATTCTCTGCAGCATTTTTATGCGCCAAAAGCTTGAGCTCGAGATCATTTTAGCGCTGAAACAGGCGAAGCAATGGAATAATTTGCCATATTTGCGAAAAAATTACAAAAATAAAAAGCAGCTTCAGAAATATAGTGTTAATATACATAATATTAGAAAAAAGGTGCAATTCGATGTGCAGTCGATAACCGTTTAGCAGTATTTTGGTCATTAGACGAATATCGAAGTCATTTGAGCAATAAACACTTTTTATAAGATATAAAAGTTAAGAAACAAAACAATAATACATAAAAAAACAGAATGATAACTCCAATTGATAAAGTCAAATAAACGATATTATAAGTATTTTTCGATTTAAAAGTATCTTATCACTTTATCTAATTTTTAACCATAAATGAGGAGAAATTAATGCCTAGGATTAGAAAGTAAAAAATTAATCTGACTAACGAACAATTTTGATACCAAGCAATCTCTATATGACAAGCAATAAATGAAAGGAAGGTTATTTAATTATCAAACAGTTCATTTTTATAAAGAAAGAACTAAATTTTACATTTATATCACTTTTAAAAACACTTTTCTGTAAAAATAAACCGCTAATTCATGAAAACTGCGGCAGACATTATTTACACAGTAAGAGTTAAGTGCTATTTCTTGACATTACTGACGAAGCAAATCTTGTTAATGGTCTCCTTTTATATGAAATTATAAAATACATTTCTTAAATATCAGTATAGCGCTATGAATTGCATTGAATACAGATTGCTTAGCCAAACACTATTTACGCATTATAAAGTTTTATCTATTCCATTAACATGATTAAACAATTTATATAAAAAGTGCCGATATATTTTCTTATACTGTTAGGTTCGTTTTAATTGCAAATATTCTGTTACATTGCACAAATTCACATTAACACAGGAAAGAACCAAATCCAAAGTAGTTATAAGTTCCCCTTGACATAACTCAAACGAAACAGATAATGGAATCTTTTCAGCCTGACGTCATAAACGGCAACCAATAAGAACAGGGGTGGTGGCTGGGGCCAGGCGCTTGTGGCCCCGATGGGTAGGGCTAACACTACTGATAAGGGCTACTGATAAGGATAGCGTCCCTACGAGATGGTAACCAAAAAAGAACCACATGATTTAAAGCAATTACTAAGTATTTAATGCCAGAACATAATAAAATGAGCATAATAATAATAATGATCATAATAAATGAATGAATTTAAAGGTACTTTAGTGACAGATATTTGATTTAGCTTAGAGAAAAGAAGTTCTACTTATCTGAACGCTCCGTCTTAGTGATGCAAAAGATTGCAAGGAAGACAAGACCCCCCAGGTACAGGAGAACTCCCGGCTTTGAGAACGAGACAATGCAGAGGATATTCGCGAAAATTTTCTGAAATAAATGAAGATTTTCCGGAAAACACCTTTGAAAATTCTGGAGCTCTTCCAAGATCCTGCCTCCACCGTACGTGATCACAGCGCCCTCCATATAATAATTCTCATTGTTTCGTTTAAGCTAGATTTCGGTTAAACGAAGTTCGGTTAAGCGGGGTTTAGTTGTAGGAGTGTTAATTTTTTTTAAACGCTAAGTGCAATTTTTTAAGCGCATAAATTAACTCCTCGAGTCATGTTAATTTATTAATATGATAAATTTAATGGCATCAACTTCTCTGTTGATTAATGGAGCTCTGTTTAAAATAAGCAATTTAAAGTCATGTGAGCAACTGGCTTCTAATCTAACAAGTTTTGCTATTTTTTGTTAATCTTCAAAGATGGGAGAAAGCATGGTAATTTTTTGGATTTAACTGTGTGAAATAATTGTTGAAGTCATTCAGCCAGTGCAGTTTGCATGTATTATTTCCTTTTTGTAAATTAAAACGATAATGTGAGATTTTGGTGTGTTTTAATAAATAATGGTTTATGCCTTGTTTTGGTGCATATAATTTATCAGATATTATACTTGCTATAAGTATTATACGAGGTTTGTTTCTTACTCTGAACTAAGCATATAATTTAAACTTTAAATAAAAAAGTTCTGATAATTTTTCAGTACGTTCTTTGATATTTAAATGAAAAAAGTGTTAATTAGTTAATGTTGCAAATTTTTGTTTTAATGAAAACGTCTTATGGAGTGCTTATGGAAGTGTGCATTTAAGTATAGATTATTTCGGTATTAATTTATTTTTATTAAATGTATCAATAACAAATGGAGTAATCTGAATGAATTTTCTTTTCAAAATATAATGTAGACTAATAAGATCTTGGTGGTCATAATCTTTAGTTATGATATTTTTATAAAAAAACTTCTGTATCTTCAAACTGGTATGTGCTGTATGACATTTCACACCGTACTACTATATCAAGGAATGGCATTCATTTCTGCAGCAATAAAATGATAGCCAGGTAATATTTCAGTATTTCTCAGTGATTGTTTGAAAGATTAGGAGTCAACTAATTAATTGCTTTGATGAGGCACACCTGACAATTTTTGCAAAATACGTAGAGAAATCCAACAGGAGCATGCTTTCAAAGTTTGGTAATTTGGGGCACAGACATATTTACTTCGTTGAAAGCATATTTTATGTAGTGGAAGCAGATTTTTTTCTGTCACATTGAAAAGATGTCATCTTATTCATAAGCTTCATTTTATATTCCAAAATGACTGCAATAAAAAATTATGCATGCCAGTTCAAGAAATTTGATCTTGCACAAGGCTGTACATGTTTATGATGTCATTATGACCTCAAAATCATATTTAAAGTAATTACTTAGTAAATATAAAAGTTAAAAATAGGAAACCTGATCTAAAATAAAGGTCATAGACCTTGATGACAATTACTAAAGAAATGAACAGAAAATTAATCATGGTTTAAGAGGAGCATTCTATTTTATGGAGGTGAAGTGAAATAGATCCCATGCCTTTGCTCACAGATTAAAGAGTTAATTAATATGTAAAAAATTTGTGCTGATTTTAAGATGACATATGTAAACAAGGAATGTTTGGATTAATGCTGCAGTTATAAATGCCACTGCAGCAAGTTTGTCTTGATCAGATTCCATGAATGTAAAGATTTTTTTTTATGTAGAAAACTAAAAGAAATTTAGATGTAGAAAACTAAAAGAATCTGTATATGACAGAAAATGTTTTTATAAGCTTGGAACCACCACTGGCTAAGAAGCCAAAGCTATGAATTTCTTCTGACTCAACAGGCTGACTGTATCATTCCATTTTTGATGCTTTTCTGTATTGTAAGTATTAGAAGTCGAGTTTCTTTTGGTTAATCCTCGGTGAAAGCATCCATCATAAAGCATATAGTACTCGCATGCTTTGACATAATGAGTAACTCCAATCTATTCTTTTTGAAATACTGCAGTTTAATAATGCAAATCTTGTGGTATTGGAAATAATTATGAAATTGCAGGTTTATTGGATAGTTGATCTAGCAGAATTGCATTTATGAAATCTTTACATGCCATGAATTCATATTTATAATTTCTTATTTTAGTATTTATTATAATAATGCGAGTTATTAGTTTAGTATCTATGTTTGTATTTGTTAGTTTATCATTAGTTTAAACCAAATATGATTTTACATTGTAATTACTTTTAAAAACTATTCATAATTCTGATTATATTCATGCAATCCTTTTATATTTTCTATTATGATTCTAAACTTCCATTACAAAAAATATTTTTTTCTTATGCTTGAAATGATAAGTAGCTTGTTTATAATTAATGAACGAACAAAATATTTAGTGATTCGGTGTAATACATTTTTGTCCAGTTAAGCTAGTGAATATTATGCATTAAAACCATGATAAAAATAAATACCTTAGATTTTCAAGTTGAATTATCTCTTTATATGTATAATTGTCTTTTTATTTACCATAGAGTAAAAAATTCTTTTTATGTGTGGCAAGAGTGGGGTGGGGTGTTATATTGAAAAGAATAAGCTCTTGTTGATTCAACCATATTTTATTACCTAGTTTCCTTCTGCTGATGCCGTAAGTTTTGTGTGTGGTAACCCAGGAAAAATAAGGGAAGCTGAATCAATAATGAAGGACAGTTACATAAAGGTAAGACTATGTTAAAATAATATTTAAGGCCAGAAGGTTTCAGCAAAATAGCTTCAGAATTTTTGTCTTCAGTTTGTTAATGAAATGTGTGTGACATATAGCCTGATTATTATTATTATTATTATTTTTAAATCAAAGATTTTAGGTGATTACATAGTGAGGAATTTCTAAATATTAAATATCTTGACTCTTTTTTTTTTTTTTTTTTTTTTTTTTTTTGGCTGTTTATATTTTAAATTCTGTCCAAATTTTTAAATACTTTCTGATTAGCTGCATTTCCACTAAAAGTGGGCCAACTCATTGGTAACTTTGTGATTGGCAAAAATTTTTGTTTGATTATCCAATGGCTCATGAATACTGTTCTCTTCCTAAATAATAATATAAAGAATCATTTATACTTATGTATTATCCTGTTGACCAGCCAAGTAATACAATTTAGCGTTAATTCTGAATGATCATGTCCTTTAGAATTTCGTAGTAACAATTGCTGACCGTTACCGAAATTTCTGCCAACGGTTAGTGGGATAATATGTAAGAACCAAAGCAATTTTATAAGAAGTTAGAAATTTAATGAGAAAAAAATTATGCAACCAGTATTTATATTTTGATACTTAATGCATTGCTACAATAACCTCAGCAGAAATTGCTAAATTCTGGCAACTTTTTGCATAACAGTTATGTAGTTTGGCAAAGTAAGTTGCCATTTTTGTATGTGTTCTTTTTGTTGTTTTCCAATTTCCAATGGCTTTTAGACAAAATGTGATATTTTTTATATTGAATTAAATTTTGAAATATGTAGGAGTGTGGTTTATGTAGTGCAGTGAAAAAATTGTAGTACAATTTCTGTGGGAATTTAGTATTTTGCTGCACAATACCTAAAGAGAACTACTGCTTTCAATTTATTCTTAGTACAATTACCATGAAATTTCCACCAGAACAAAAGAAATAAAAACAAATTTGATTTTCAGGATAAATATCTAATTGAAAAGGGAAATATGTATGTAACAATTTTTTTGCAGCTGCGAGTTATCTTTTTTTTTTTTTCCCTATTAAAATTTTATCAGTGGTTCTGCTAATACCAGTATATATTTACAGCTACATATTAATGATGTGTATTTTTACAGCTGCTTCATACTGAATGATCAAAGATGGTTAAACATAAAGCATGTTTGCAAACATGTGTGGGTTGCCTGTTGTTATATATATACTTGAAGATATGTCAAAGATCTAGCAGTTGTACTAAAAATTGAAACTGGGATGTGATCATCATCAGAAAGCACCACATTTTATTTTTTAAAGTAGCATTCTGCATAGTTTTATTGTAGATATTTAATATTTTTCATGTTTTTTAAAGTGAGATGATTTAACTTTTTAGGTCTTTATGAACTAGTGAAATTCTTTGCAGAAGCAGTAAAGTAGATCTCAGTATTTTGAAATACAAATCAATTCTAAACTTTCTGTACAAAATGTAGGATAGTGATTGCTGAAACTAAACACTTTTATTAATAAATGTATCTCTGTAAATTTCACTGTGTGATGCTGGAGTATGCTGAAGTTAGGCATTATAATTAGCTCCTTTCTTTAGACTTTTTTCATAACATAAATTTTGCACATATAGTGTATGAAGCATTTTCTGAATATTTGGATTACTAACATTTATTGAGCCATACTTGACTATGAATAAATTGTTGTAACAATGTACAGTCAAAAGTCGTTAATTCGGACACCCATAATCCAGACCTCAAAGCTACAAACTTTCTGCGCATGCGTCGCATTGACGCATGTGCATAGGCATTTATGTGTGCGCGCGTAGGACCTTTACCGCTGCGAATATGCGTGTGCGCGTGCGCATAAAACGTTTACGCATGTGCGTTTAATGTATAACGGACGGTAAAAGCTAAGCTAAAATGATCTAAATCAGTTAATGTTACAGATTGCGTTGTTCCTTAATCTTCTAATTGGATCCGGCTTATTATTTTTTGCTGTTAGAGAATTTTATAAAAATAAGCTTGAACTTTCGATTATACCAAATAGAATTTCCGATATATATTATGGGTACTTACGTATTATCGCAACCAGGTTTGCGCGATTTGTAAGTTTGAGTAAAAAAGTATGAATAGAAAGAAAATGTACATTTATTAATTACAGATAATTTTTAATACAGTTTTTATATTATTTTGTTTTAAAATATAAAATAGCAATTAAACCCTTCCGGTTTCGAATTTGAATAAGTTGCAGAATTATTTTTTCGGCGGAAATCTTTTGGCTATTGCTTTTAGCACTCATTGAAAACCGTATTTGCCATAACCATGTACACGTCGACTTATTTTTACTTAAAAAAACATCTCAGAATTGCACAAAAATGGCATTGCGCACACTCTTGACTTTATCCATGTACACTGTTATTTTGCATGTGGAGATTAACAAAATTTTCCTGCATTTTCGTGCAAATTTTTGTAATTTATGAGAAAATAGCAGTGTACATGGATAAAGTCAAGAGGGTGCGCAATGCCATTTTTGTGCAATTCTGGGATTTTTTTTAAGTAAAAATAAGTCGACGTGTACATGGTTATGGCGAGTACGGTTTTCAATGAGTGCTAAAAGGAATAGTGAAAAGATTTCCGCCGAAAAAATAATTCTGCAACTTATTCAAACTTGAAACCGGAAGGGTTTAATTGCTAATAAATTACAAAAATTTGCATGAAAATGCAGGAAAATTTTGTGTATCTCCACATGCTCTTTTTACAAAACTACGTATAACACGTAGGGTTGTCGTAAGTAGGGTCGCCAAATTTGGCAATTTATGCGAATTTTGGCCTGGTTGTGTTAATACGTAAGTACCATATTTGCTAATATGTAAAGGATCTAAAGCGAAAATATGTTTCGAAATCCGAAATCTGTTTATCAATTTCACGCTGCTCGGCTGGGGGAATGCTGCGGCACGCAATGAATTGGAAGTTGATTTGTCAGCACTATCCTCATCTTCAGGGCAGATGTTTTTATTTTATTTGGCTTATAATACCTTACTAAATGTAGTATTTCATCTCGATGTACTCCGTCTTTGATATGATTTAAAACAAGTTCCTCGTCATTATAATTCGCTTCCGATAGTGAAGAAAGTGACAAAGGTTATTGAAAATGAAAAAATTTCGATTGACAAATTAGTCTGTATTTTCGACACATTATACGACTTGAACAGCGGAATTTTGTAACTAAAGAAGAAATTATGTCTGTTTAATAGAATTAAAGAGAAAGTATTATCACATGAAACGAAGCAACTTAAACAACTTACGTTGAAAGAAATGTTTAATAAAGTAAACAAATAAATATTAAGCTTTTCCTTTTTGTAAATTTTGATACCCTTTAGATCATAATTGTTCTTTATTTCATAAATTACGGTTTTATATTTTTAATTTTGTAATTTCTGCATGCCATCTTACCAGATTTAAACTGATGATCTATAATCCGGAATCGCCGAGGTCCCGAGTCCGGATTAACGACTTTTGACTGTACTAGATATAATTTTTCAAGTGATATAATCTGACCCCCCTTCCTCCAAACATTATTATATTTATGCTAGGAACTACATAAAATTAGTTGGTTCCATGTAAATATATGAATACTGTAAACTACTGTAAGCAAAAATGTTTGAAACTTATGTAGTTTCCTCATCAACTGTGGAAACTGGCAGAGAACTAGTTAAACTTGTGCCAGCTAATCTGATAGAAGTTTGAAAGAATACATCACTCTTTATTTGATTAGGTAATCAACAGATATAAGTTATGGATAGAGCATATAAAATCTTGGTTCTTATGATTAACGGGTACCGCTTGGCGAAAATTGGCAATTTTTGGCAATACATGGATACCAAGTTTGTGCAATTCTTTGACTTGTTATTTTGGCAAAAAATCGCTGCTACATAAAGACAAAATAGCAAGTCAAAGACTTGCACAAACTCAGTATCCAGTACACATTGACCTATTTTCACTTAAAAAAATCACAGAATTTCACAAACTAGGCATTGTGCACTCCTTTCCTTGATTTTATCCATGTACACATTGACCTATTTTCACTTAACCCTCTCTCTGACTGCTCAATTTGTGGACCGAAATCGCTTCAAAAATTGGGAATTTTTTTTTTCATATTTTAAATCTATATATATTGAAAAATTGAAAAATGCATTTTTCCTTTCTAGAAAATATTTTTTTATATAGATTTTTATCATGAGAACCTAAGTTGCCAGAAAAACAAATTTCAGATGATATCACCAAAAAAAATTTTTCTTTAAAATAAATTTCAGTCGAATTACAGTTAATTTCTATTTATTACATTATATAAAATTTAAGTATTCCAGAGCGTCACTCTTGGTATTTTGACTAATGCTCATTATTTTGTCCGTAATGAAGTGCTACATAACGATCTCAAAATTTTACCCCTTGATGCCTTTTTTTCGGCAAAATTCGGCCAAGTTTTTCAATAGATTATCTCAGATTGAAAACCCAGTCCTGCATTCACTTCCTGCATATGACCCAGCAAAACCTAGCTCTGCTAAGCGACCTAGGAGCGTTCTAGATAGAACATTTAGCATCTTTCCTAGCGGAGTCCAAGCGGAGGTGTTTGCTTGACTAGGAATTCTTTCTAAATTAAATTACAACTAGCACTTCACGGGCCTAACCCGGCGATCCTTAAATATTTCTAATCACCCACCGGACCTAATCCGGCCTCATTCAACCGGCATATTTATCCGTGCTGCTAACTATATTATGCTCCTCCATTCGCCAAGACCTCACCTTTTCACAAGTCACAGTCCAGACAATTAGGATTTAAATCTATAATGGGAAAATAGCTTAAAGTTTTAATTTTAACTTCCTTAATTAATTTATTAAAGCCCAACTTAATAATTTAAATTTAACTTAACTCATGAAAATTTTTACTTAATACTGCACCTTAAAATATTTTCTTTTCATTAATTTTTACTATTTTTACTTCCAACATAAACT